GACTGATTATTTAATCTCAATTCTGTTTTCTGATCAGTCCAAATATAGTCTTAACGGTGCAGAGGGGCGAGTTCTAGTGTGTAGTAAAGGACCAAATAAGCAATTAGCTCAGTGCAATATAGTGGTAAGAGTGCAATTCGGAGAAAGGTTGGTGAGGGTTTGGGTTAGACTATGTTTAGAGTCAAGTACAGACCTCCATGTGTTCCAAAGGCTGACAGTCAATGCACACACATACATCACCAACATCCTCAAGGAATATGTGGTAGCTTCTGGCCTTCTATATTCTTTTTATGCAGGATAATGCTCTCGCACATCGAAAATTTTGTATGGAACTACTTATACAAAGTTAATGTCTGCACCTTGGAGTCGTCAGCTCACAGCCCGAGCTTCAATCCCATGAAGCATCTTCTGGACCAACTTTGGATATCCATCCGTCGACAATAGAACTCTCTATGTGACTTCCAAGTTTGTGAAATGGATCAGATTCAAAATCGTGTAACCCACTTATTCGTAGTATGCCTACAAGTGTACAGGTCATTATTGCAGAAAAGGGAGGCAACACTAGGTACTAGAGACTCGGATTTCATAATTAAAAAAGAATTAGATGCCTTTTATTGGTGATTAAAAGAGTGTTCATTTGCTTTAATTTTCTTTCGATTTTTTAAAATGAATTTTCGTGCTTTTTCCTTTTTATTTGTGGCCTTCTATAAACAGAATATTTCAGACTATATTGAGATTAAAAAATTTCATTTTTTTTTCTGTTGAGAATGAAATAACGACAAAATTTAAGGAGCACCGGTTTTTAAGTGCATTTAACTGGCCATAAATAGGGAATTGAAAGTAAAAATTATAGATGGTACAACATATTATTTAAAACAATTACCATAGTTCACTAAGACAACACATCTGCTTATTGTCAAATTCATGACAAGTACGGTTTGAGGTTTGAAGAGAGAACAAAAATTACAATGTTTACCCACTAGTTAAATCTATTAAATGTATGCATTTTTCGTCACTAATCATTTTCTACTACGACTGTTTATTTTAATTATAATAAAATTAATTGCCACGAATTTCTTTTAGTCCAACAGTAATAAAGGAGGCTGCTATATTTATTTATATTGCATTGTAAGTATTTTTACTTATTTAAATAATGATTGAGACAGATCAAAAATTTTTCATGATTGCAATACTTTCTCTTACTTCCTCTTCTTCGTTCTTCCAACAAAATGGTCACGTCCGGTGTTAAAATAAGGAAATTAGTAGTCCTTCTGAGGTCCTCTAGTGTCCTGTAGAGTTTGGTTTCAAGTGATTTCGGCTCAGGGCAAATCTACATTAGGACAAAAACACATTTCAGAAGAACGTGCTTAGCTGTTTGTTCTTCCCTACCACACTTACATAAGAGATTATTTCTAATGTATTATTTTCTAAGGTTAGTTCTCAGTTTGAATATCATGACTTGATCTTTTCTGTTTAGTTTGTGGTAGGAGTTTTGGGAATGTTTGGTGCCCCATCTTTGCCTTATTTCAGCTTTGTTTATTATCTTTACCTCTTTGCAGGTGAGTCGGGAATCTGTCTTCTGTTGAAGAGATCCAATCTTACCCAAATTGTCTTTTGGTTTCTTGCAGTTGGTATTATATAAAGCCAATTGAATTGGAGCTGCTCCATATAGCTAAATTATCTGCATATAGTGAGGCTTTTACACCAACTGGCAGGTCCTTTATTATGTCATTTATAAAGATGATTGGGGACAAAACACTTCCGTGTGGAACTCCGTTTTTAAATTCTTTGCAATGCTTATCATGCAATTTAGGCTTCTCTTATCATTTATATGTACTCTGGGTTTTCTTTTGTGGAGAGAGTTTTTCAACCAGAATATCCATTAATATAAATTAATATCATATAATATATCATATAATATATCATATAATATTATTATAAATTAATATCCACCCTCCTTTTCCATTTTCTGCAACTTTGTATAACAGGCCTTCTTTTCAAACTTTGTCAAAAGCTTTATCCAGGTTTACACATATTGCCATAGTATGCTCCCCCTTTTGGGACCCATCCTCTATATCTAGGGTAATGTGAACTACTTGGTCTTCAGTGGATCGGTATTTTCTGAAACCTGCTTGTTCCAGTAAGAGCATTTTCTTTGATTCCAGAAACCAGATTAGTCTGTTGTTCACCAATTTATCCATGAGATTTCCAAGACAGCTGAGAAGATTAATTGGTCTGTAGCTATTCACATTCCCTTTCTACTTCCTAGCTTTTTTTATAGGGATTTAGGCTGCTTCCCTCCAACATTGTGGAAAAATTGCACTTTTCCAACTGTTACTAAAAACTTTGAGGAGCCTCTTATTTGTTTGGTCCTCTAAATTATATAAAAGTTCTACCAAGAAATCTGCTGCAGCTTTACCACCATCGAGGTGTCCATCTTGAGCTATTGTTACAGGACCATTTTTATGTTCATTCCCTGCTAGAACTTTGGATAGCTTTAGTTTTTGTTCTTCTTTATCCATATTTATTTCCTCTGTTTTTTCTTTCCATGTCCTTTTTTGGATGTTATAATAATACATTGCAATTTAGCAGCTACCTCCTTCATTCTAGTGATTTATAATTGGGAGGTCTTTTTCTGCTTGATCTCGTGCTTCTTTCAGCTGCACAATGAGGCTCATAATATTTTCTTGCTCGCCTAGTTATACTTTGCTTTGCAGACTTTAAAAGCACTGTTGAGAGAGCAAGGGGACAATTGTTAATTTTATTCTTTGATAAACTTACTCAGGACAAGTATTTATATGTTAGTATTTTGTACTTTGCCCACCACTTAGCTTTTTTATAGTTCCATCTGGGAAGTGTGCTAGTTTGCATATTAGGATGGAGATTGACAGAGATTATGAGAGAACGATGATAACTAACACCAAATTATTTTTCTACTGTTCTCGTCATATTTACAGCTAGGTCAATAGGTGGCAAAACGTAGATCAGGAGAGGTTGATGACATCCACGTTCTAGAATAAAAAGTAGTTCGATCATTTGGTTCGTTCAAAATTTGAAGTTAATTGTTTGCTTGTTAGACCTCAAACTCATCCCCTCTAGTATCTACTGCTTTGTAGCCCCATCAAGATGAATGGGCATTAAAATCACCAACGATAATATAGTCTTGTTCTGGGATCTCCATCGTGTGAAGATAGAGGTCTCTATCATTGGGACAGTAATAGTTATATAGCAGTAGCGTTTCTTCACGGATCAGTAAACTAACTCATTATTTCTGTGGTCATTCAGTTCCAAATGAAGTTCTTTTGCTGGGAATGAGTTCTTTACCAGGGCCATAATACCACCTTTACTTCACCTCTCTCTCTGTCTTGGCGGAAAACTTGATAACCTCATATAGTAAAGAGCACGTTGTTATTAATAAGGTGGGACTCTTGGATGCAAACAACATCTATTGTTTCATAGTATAGTCCAGGGGTTTCCATCCCAGAAATCGCGGACACAGTGGTGCGTGACCTCACTTGTGCCCGCCCATGTCTAACATAACCTTTAGAGGCCATCACTTTGACTACAGTTTTACTGTTGCCTGCTGCAGATCGAAAAGTTTTCTATTAAATGTTGAATATTTATTTTTCTAGTCACATCCTTCAGGTTTGGTGCCGTTTTCTTATAAGTTTTTTATATATATTTTAGGGCAAAGGTCACCAAATATACACAGTTTTTATATCCTGTATTCTTTATTCGACGTTTCGGCTTCAGGATCCATTTTCAAGATTCATGCACCGTGTCATAAAATTTTTAAAATCTATCATTGCAATATGATTCGTCCTTTAGTCATTCTTTTATTTCAAAGAATGTCGCTTTTTCACTTCTCTTTCGCAGACGATATCAAGAAAATAGTTGCTCCTCACAAGGGCATTCATACAGGACTCATGTATATATATATATATATATATATATATATATATATATATATATATATATTTTTTTTTTTTTTTTTTTTTTTTTTCGGTTGGCTCTACAGATCTTGCAGATCTTTGGCCACCTGAACCAGGCTTCTCCGCCTCTGCCTATCTTGGGCTACTGCTTTCCAGTTTGCTGCATGAAGCTCAGCCGTATCTTTGTTTATCCTATCTATCCATCTCGTTTTTGGCCTCCCACGTGGTCTCTTGCCTACTACTCTGGAATTCATTGTCGTGTAGAGGCGTCCTGATGGATTACTACGAGCTACATGCCCTACCCATCTTAACCTCCTTGCCTTCATGTCACGAGATATTGATTGACCCGTTTCTTTCAACAGTTCTTTATTGTTCCTTCATGCAATGAAAATTGCACTTGCTGTTTTCGTCTTTTCTGAAGAAATATATTTCATTAGTTTTAGAAATGATAAAGATGTCTGCAATTATACATACATACATATATATATATATATATATATATATATATAATATATATATATATATATATATATATATATATATATGTGTGTGTGTGTGTGTGTGTGTATTTTTTTATTGATACCATTTATATTTTCTTTAAAAATTTATGATGATAAAAATGTGCTCTTAGGTACATTGAGAACATGTCTTATCATGGCACCACCAGTCGCTCGAAAAGGTCCCACTGAGTAGGGTCAAGTACTCTACTTGCCCGATGGGAATCCACAAGACAAACACCTTTTTAAATCAAAATTTAGTATATATGGAAGTGAGAGCATGATGCACCGTTTTCTGGTCTTGCAAGGTTTATTTATTTCTCGTACTATACATTTCATATATAGGTAAGTGAAAGTAAAAAATAAATAAATAAAATTAAAAAAACCTTTCCCACTGCTACCCATGAAGGATCGTGGGGTCAGTATTTCATAAGAACTGTTTCAAGACTAACAGTAAATTATTGTAATTCCTGACTCATCCCAGACTTAGACTGACTAATCCTAGCCATGCGAAATTCCAGACATATATCTAAATTTCCCAACTAATATAATATTTAGAATCAAAACATACCATGTAAGTCTCTATCGCCAATTTCACGTTTACTACTTTCACTGAGTATACTCAGTTTCTGTTTGTTAAATGATGTAGCTGCATCTGAAGCATGTACCATACCAAACAATTGCCTTTTCTGTTTAATTTTTTGCTCTAGAAGGTGTTTCTGAAACATTAAACAATATACATAAAAAAATACTCTGAAAAATAAATAATAAATAGGTATAAATAGATAAGAGACAAAAATTGAGCTACTTGTGACAAAAAATAGCGTTAAAAATTTCACAGGATGCTTAAAATATTAATTAGGTTACAACTAGGATAAATTAAAATAAACAATATATAAGATGATTTAAATAACATCTTTAAATATGATTATGAGTGAACAAAATACAAAGACTTCCATAATCTTTGAATTTTAAAGAAGTTTATAAAGATTTTAAAGATGACTGACAGGTCACAATGGTCAAATAAAAATAGAAAAAATACATTTTTTAATCTTCAGTTGACATCGGGTGATAAAAAAGAGGCACAGAAAGGACTATACCTCATAAAGGACTCTAAATAGCTCAATGGAGTGATGAGCATGGATATTAATAAAGGTATCAGATAAAAATTTTCTCGGTCATCCATTAAATATTAAATTCACCACTGAAACCCAACCTTTCAGTCCTAAACAGGGTTTCTCAATTCGTAATGGTCAAAGTCTGGGGGATGATTCTGTACAAAATTTTCAACAAAAAAGTTCATTTGATGCATAGGCCGATTTCGAATGGAAAAAGAGTTAAGACCAGTTTTAAGTATTTCTAAAGTTAGTCACATTTTATATAAGAGAAGAACAAATTTCTTAAAAACTGTTGAAGATAATTAAATTTTAAGTGCACCATTGCAAAGTAGACAAACATTTTTTTAGAAAACAGTGATTAAATTTACTAAGGTCAATGATAAAAGCGAATTTCAGGCGATCAAATAATGCAAAGCCTACCATTATACCGAATTATTTCACGAATCGGGATTACAGAGATATGCTGCTCAGGTATGGGTACTTTAACTGCAGCAGTACAGCGACCGTATTTGACCTCCTGACAGTCTCTTTTATCATTGACCTTAATAAATTTAATCGCTGTTTTTAAAAAAAAAAATTTGTCAGCTTTACAATGGTGTGCTTATAATTTAGTTATCTTAAACAGTATTTAAGCAATTCCTTCTTATTCATTAAAAACTATGACCACCTTAAAAAAAAACCCACAAAATTGGTCTTAAATCATTTTCCGTTCGTAATTGGCCATGTGTGCATGCGAGAACCCTACTTGGTGTACGGAACTGGAGAGCTGCAGCAGAAGACAGAGCCAACTGGCGGAGGCTCTTGGAGGAGGCCCAGTCTCGGTAACGGGATGTCGTGCCACATATGATGATGATGAATTGGTCATGTATCAAATGAACTTTTTGTTCGAAATTTTATCAAAAATCACCCTCCAGAGTTTGGCCTTCAAGAACAGAGTCACCATGTATAATGTATGCAACAAAAATATGTTATGATGTAACTAAATTTTCACATAATATTTGTAATGCTTTGTTTGAAAACAAAATAGAAGGTATAAATTAAAACCTGGTCAACTGGGCTCCCTTCGAGACCTGTGCTGCAGTCTGGGGATGACCTGCAGCTGCAGTCCCCTCTCTTGCCTGGCCAATTTGAAACAACAGAAATAGCTTATACAACAGATTGACACAAGTTTGTAACTGATGATGGTTAACTCAGTTCCATAACTCTTCTAGTAATCAGTGAAGTTTTATGGGGATTCAAAGAACTCCCAAAGTTTCTATCCATTCATTAAGTTATTTGCAGAATTGATCCTATTATGCCATGTACAATTCAATGTTATAATTGTCTACATTGGGGTCACATAAGGAAAAATTGCAAGAATTCTTTATTGAAGGAAGCTAGTCGACTGTTCTACATATCATGGGTGATAAATATTCAGGACGCAGTCATTATAAAAATGTTTTTATTTGTGCCGACGTTTCAACCCAAACATGTGGGTCATCATCAGGGCTGAAAATTTTAAAATACAATCAGAGATATAATATTATACGACCGATAATGGTAAATAATAAACTATAGTGATTGATGGTACATGAATCTTAACTATTATTACAATACACAATATTAAAAATGAAATGGGTGATAAATATTCAGGACGCAGTCATTGTAAAAATTTTTTGTGTTCAAAAAAAAAAAATTAGTGTGTTCAAGTACTCATGTTCAGTACATGAACACCATCAGTGCTCGAACCACGCCCTGATGATGACCCATATGTTTGGATTGAAATGTCGGTAAAAATAAAAAATATTTGGACATCCTAATACACGGACATCCTAATACACTTATAAATGACATGGCCACTACGAATATGCCAGGTAACGTCTGTAGGAGACTGAAGAGGAGCTGGATGAGGGACCTCCTCGCCTAATGTAGATATCACACCGAGTGAGGTGCCGCTGGGCACTGATCCTCCTCATGCCTTTCATGACATTATATTTTGCAATCGACCTCACATTTACTGGTTGTCATTACCATTATGACAGGTGTGAATAAAAAATTAAAGCTAAAAAAAAAATTTTTTTACAATGACTGCGTCCTGAATATTTATCACCCATGATATATAGAACAGTCGACTAACTTCCTTCAATAATTCATCAAATCATTGGGAGAGTACTTGAACACCTTCAGTGCTCAAACCACACCCTGATGATGACCCACATATTTGGGTTGAAAAATGGGCAAAATTAAAAAAATTTATACAATGACTGCGTCCTGAATATTTATCACCCATGATATGTAGAATAGTCGACTAGCTTCCTTCAATAATATTAAAAATGAAATATGTTAAGTTATATAAACTAGAAATAATGTATATAATCCATTTATAAAAATTTGTAATACTTTCTCTTACTAACTGTGGTTCAATCACTGAAGGCTTTTAAGTACTGACACATTTGGTAGGTAAGAGAAAGGATCGGGGGAGGATTTCCCAGTTGTCCTTTTTCAGATAGCAAAAGGTAGGTAAAGATAATCAGAGGAAGAAGAGAGGTAACATTTCTGTTTGTAGAATGTAAATAATTTGCTGACTAAATATTCAAGATGTGTACAAGATTTGTGTTGTTTCTTAAGCTTATAGAATGGTGACTATTCTGTACTTGTACTGAACATGAGTACTTGAACACAATCAGTGCTCGGAGCACACCCTGATGATGACCCACATGTTTGGGTTGAAACGTCAGCAAAAATAAGAAATTAAAAAATTGTTTACAACGACTGCGTCCTGAAGATTTATCACCCATTTCATTTTTAATATTGTGTATTGTAATAATAGTTAAGATTCATGTACCATCAATCACTATAGTTTATTATTTACCATTATTGGTCGTATAATATTATATCTCTGATTGTATTTTAAAATTTTCATCCCTGATGACGACCCACATATTTGGGTTGAAACGTCAGCACAAATAAAAACATTTTTATAATGACTGCTTCCTGAATATTTATCACCCAAAAATTCTTGATGTAGCAGTAAATGTGGTAAAGGTCATAAAGGGGAGGACTGCCCTCCAGAAAACTTAATTAAATGTACACATTGTGATCAAAATGATGGATAGGTTATGAGCAATGTCCAGAATTTATTAAACAGCGCTCAATAAGAAATCTAATGGTCAACGAAAATATAACCTTTATCGAAGAATTGGTTATGGGAAAATCCTTTAAAATCTTCAACTTTAAATAATAAGATGCCTAATTTTAAATATAATAATTTGTTTCCAGATTTAAAACAGCTAAATAGAGTCTCTCTTAAAAGGGCTAGGCAATCTTCGCCTATTAAATCATGGCCCAGTGAAGGTAGTACAATAACAGAATATAAAAATATTACTTCTTATCCTACAATTATAAGTAACCCAATAACAAACAATCCACATAAAACCAAAGATAAAATTTCTTTAAATGAGAGACTAAGCTTAAACACTGGTTCAATTTCACACATAATATTTTAGACTTTAAATACTTTAAAAGAAACAGACATTGTAAATATTAGCAGTATTGATCATAGGCTATGGTTAGAGACATAGTCCAATCCTTATCTGAACAATAATTCTATGAATTATTTACCTCAGGTACATTGTACTTTTTATAATACATTTTCTCTATTTACTAAACATTAATATTCCTATATTCTTTATTTTTAATAAAACTTATGATACAAATTACGCAATGTGTTGGACAGTGACTCATTGTACACACTCGTTTAATTAGTAACTGTTCTTTATAAATAAAAACAATTTACCTGTTATTTTTAACTTATATTTGATTACCCACGTGTTTTAAAAATATTATTCATTGTTCAAAACATTGTAATAATTATAATTAATTTGTTCTTATTAAAATCATTATTGATAGTTGTTGTGCACTTATTCATTGATACACATGGAATACAAGGTCAGCTACATCAAACAAAGGCAACTTAAAGATATTTTTATCATACCATAACATAAATGTGGCAGTATTAAGCGAAACCTGAATTCATCCTCATGTTTAGGTAAACTTTCTGGGATATAATAATATTCAATTTGATCATGACGATGAAATTACAGTATATTACTATTTTAATTAAATATCATAATGAATACAGTGAACTCATTAATATATATAGACCTAGTAATGACTTTCAGGTAGTTGGAATTAAAATGATTAATAATGGTATGCATCTATCTTTAGTGTCCATGTACAACCCGATTCTAAAAAACATTTCGGTTGATGAAAGGGAAAAAAAGGTTCCCCAAAAAAAACAATTGGCCATGCTGCTTTAGTGCTGGGGATGTTAACTGTGACCACCCATCCTGGGGCAGGGATAAATTAGATTATAGAGGTAATAAATTATCTCAGGTAATTGGTAATGTAAAGTTTGATCTTGTTAAATGATGGGTCACCTACTAGAGTTAAAAATATTTGACAAATAAACCAAAGAACTATAAATATTACTTAAACATCATCCGACCTTGCACTGTTATATGATTGGTGTACTGAAGACCCTAAAGTTCGGATCATCTCCCAATCATTGTATTCCCGGTATACCCTACAAATGCCAAACATATTTCAAAATCAAATGATTA